AACCTCTGCCTCCCAGTTTTTTAAGCAATTCTCCTGCCTCGGCCTCCCGAGTAGCTGGGACTACAGGCGAGTGCCACCACACCCAGCTAATTATTGTATTTTTAGTAGAGATAGGTTTTCGCCATGTTGGCCAGGATGGTCTTGATCTCTTGACCTTGTGATCTGCCTGCCTTGGCTCTTTTTTTTTTTTTTTTAAAGAGACAGGGTCTCACTGTGTTACCAAGGCTAGAGTGCAGTGGTGCAATCGTAACTCTCTACAGCCTTGACCTCCAGGGCTCAAGCAATCTAGGATCATAGGTACATGCCACCATGTCTGGCAGATTTTCTGTTATTTTTTGTGGAGATGAGGTCTCACTGTGTTGCCCAGGCTGGTCTCAAACTCTTGGCTTCAAGCAGTCTTCCTGTTGCAGCCTCCCAAAGTTCTGGGATTACAGGCATGAGCCATCATGCCTGGCCCCATTTTTTTTTTTTTTTTTTTTTTTTTTTTTGAGACGAAGTCTTACTCTGTCTCCAGGCTGGAGTGCAGCGGTGTGATCTTGGCTTGCTGCAACCTCTGTCTCCCAGGTTCAAGCGATCCTTCTGCCTCAGCCTCCCAAGTAGCTGGGACTACAAGCATGCGCCACCATCCCCAGCTAATTTTTTGTATTTTTAGTAGAGATGGGGTTTCACCATGTTGGCCGGGATGATCTCTATCTCTTGACCTTGTGATCCACCTGCCTTGGCCTCCCAGAGTGCTGGGATTAGAGGTGTCAGCCAATGCAGCTGGCGCCATTTTAACCATTTTTAAGTGTACAGTTAATTCAGCGGCACTAAGAACATTTAGAATGTTATGCAACAAGAACCACTACCCACTTTCAGAACTTTTTTGTCATTCCAAACAGAAACTCTATTATCCATTAGACAACGACTCCCTGTTTTCCTCACCGCTATCCCCTGGCAGCCACCACTCTACTTTCCATCTTTATGAAATTGACTACTCTGTACCTGTTGTGAGTAAAATCACATGTTATTTGCCATTTTGTGTCTGTCTTCTTTCACTTAGCATAATGTTGTCCGGGTTCATTCATGTTGTAGCATGTGTCAGAATTTTCTTCCTTTTTTGGCTGATGGCTGATCACGTTCACTTTTGTTTGTTTTTCCTTTTTCTTTTTTTTTTTTTTTTTTTGAGATGGTCTCACTCTGTCACCCAAGCTGGAGTATAGTGGCACACTCTCAGCTCACGGCAACCTCTGCCTCTTGGGTTCAAACTATTCTCGTGCCTCAGCCTCCCGAGTAGCTGGGATTATAGGTGCGTGCCACCACGCACAGCTAATTTTTGTATTTAGTAGAGACTGGATTTCACTATATGGACTAGGCTGTCCTTGAGCTCCTGGCCTCAAGCGATCCACCTGCCTCTGCCTCCCAAAGTTCTAGGATTACAGACAAGCATGGTGGCTCACCATGCCTAGCCTACATTCACTTTTTTCCTTTTTTTTTTGAAACAGTTTTGCTGTTGTTGCCCAGGCTAGAGTGCAATTGTGTGGTCTCAGCTCACTGCAGCCTCCGCCTCCCTGGTTCAAGTGATTCTCCTGCCTCAGCAGGAGTTTCACTTGAAGTTTCTTTCATGAAGTTTTAATAGATGCTTAAACATTTAGGATTATGTGCTCTTGAATCAATCCCTTTATCATTATTAAATGACCTTCTTTATTCCTTGTAACATTTGCACTGAAGTCTACCTTGTGTGATGTTAATACACTCCAGCTATCTTTTCTTGAGACAGGGTCTCTCCGGTTGACCAGGTCGTAGTGCAGTGGCACCATTACATCTCACTGCAGCTTCAACATCCCAGGCTCAGGAGATTCTCTCACCTCAGCCTTTTGAGTACCTGGGACTACAGGCATTCATTCCAATACCCAACAAATTTTTTGTATTTTTAGAGTAATGGGATTTCTCCATGTTGCTCAGGCTGGTTTCCGGGGCTCAAGTGATCAGTGTGTGTCGGCCTCCCAAAATGCTGAGACTATGGGGACTGCAGGAATGAGCCACTGTATCTGGCCTTCCAGCTATCCTTTGATTCATGTTAACATGGTATATGTATATTTTGTCTTTTTCTTTTCTTTTCTTTTTTTTTTTTTTTTTTTGAGACGGAGTTTCGCTCTTGTTACCCAGGCTGGAGTGCGATGGCGCGATCTCAGCTCACTGCAACCTCCTGCCTCCTGGGTTCAAACAATTCTCCTGCCTCAGCCTCCTGAGTAGCTGGGATTACAGGCACGCGCCACCATGCCCAGCTAATTTTTTGTATTTTTAGTAGAGACGGGGTTTCACCATGTTGACCAGGATGGTCTCGATCTCTTGACCTCGTGATCCACCTGCCTCGGCCTCCCAAAGTGCTGGGATTACAGGCTTGAGCCACTGTGCCCAGCCTTTTTTTTTTTTTTTTTTTTTTTTTGAGACGGAGTTTCGCTCTTGTTACCCAGGCTGGAGTGCAATGGCGCGATCTCGGCTCACCGCAACCTCTGCCTCCTGGGTTCAGGCAATTCTCCTGCCTCAGCCTCCTGAGTAGCTGGGATTACAGGCACGTGCCACCACGCCCAGCTACTTTTTTGTATTTTTAGTAGAGACGGGGTTTCACCATGTTGACCAGGATGGTCTCGATCTCTTGACCTCGTGATCCACCCGCCTCGGCCTCCCAGAGTGCTGGGATTACAGGCTTGAGCCACCGCGCCCGGCCCTTTTTTTTTTTTAAGACGGGGTTTCACCATGTTGGTCAGGCTGGTCTTGAACTCCCGACCTCAGGTGATCTGTCCGCCTTGGCCTCCAAAGTGCTTGTATTACAAGTGTGAGCCACCACACCCGGTCAACATGGTATATTTTTTACCATTTTTTTCTGTTGTTTATGTCCTATATAAAATGAGTTTCTTTTAGGCAATACTTAGTTGTATCTTGATTTTTTTCCCTATGTGACAAATTCTGCCTTTCATTTGTAGCATTCAGATCACTCCATATGCTTACTGATGAGGCAAGTTTAATTAAAATCTACCATGTTACCATTTGTTTTCTATTTGTATCATCTATTTGTCTCCTTTTTTTCTTCTTTTGGATTTATGTTTATGTTTATGTTGGCTTATTTGCTGTAACTCTTGTGTTATTTTAGTGGGATTCATCATTAACTTATCACAGACTACCTTCAAGTGATAGAGCACTTTACCTGTAGTATGAGAACCTTAAAACAGTGTGCTTCTGTTTCTCTCTTCCCAGCTTTGGTGCTATTATTTATTTTTTTTATTTTTATTTTTTATTTTTTTTGAGACGGAGTTTTGCTCTTGTTACCCAGGCTGGAGTGCAATGGCGCGATCTCGGCTCACCGCAACCTCCGCCTCCTGGTTTCTGGCAATTCTCCTGCCTCAGCCTCCTGAGTAGCTGGGATTACAGGCATGCGCCACCATGCCCAGTTAATTTTTTGTATTTTTAGTAGAGACGGGGTTTCACCATGTTGACCAGGATCGTCTCGATCTCTTGACCTCATGATCCACCCACCTCGGCCTCCCAAAGTGCTGGGATTACAGGCGTGAGCCACCGCGCCTGGCTTGGTGCTATTATTGTCAAAATTTTACTTCTGTATATGTTATAAACTCTACAATATAGTATCTGTGTTTTTGCTTTACATAATTGTAGGTGAACAGCTTTTTCTTTCAGAACTTTAAAATGTCACCTGTCTTCTAGACTGTGTTGTTTGTAGTGAGAAATCTGCTGTCATTTTGATTTTTGTTTTTCAATGCATAATGTCTTGTTTTACTCTGTGCTTTTAAGATTTTATCACGTATTTTAAGCAATTCAATTCCAGTGTGACTTCGAGTTGTATTCTTTATATTTCTGGTGCTTGGGGTTGATTGAGCTACTTGGATTTGTGGGTTTATAGTTTTCATGTAATTGGGAAATTCTTCCCATTGTTTCTTCAGATATTTTGTCCGGTCCCCCATGTGTTAGGGTGTGCACATTTTTTCCTGTATTTCTTTCATTCTGTGTTTTAGGTCAAAGCATTTCTGTTGTTATATCTTCAAGTTGCTATTAATGTTTTGCAGTGTATTTTTCATCTCAAGTGTTACAGATTTTTTTTAAATTTTTTTATGTTTTTGAGATGGAGTCTTGCTCTCTCACCCAGGATGGAGTGCAATGGTGCAATCTTGGCTCACTGCAACCTCTGCCTCCCACGTTCAAGCAATTCTCCTGCCTCAGCCTCCCAAGTAGCTGGGATTACAGGCACTCACCACCACGCTCAGCTAATTTTTGTATTTTTAATAGAGACGGGATTTCCCCATGTTGGCCAGTATGGTCTTAATCTCTTGACCTCGTGACCCACCCGCCTCAGCCTCCCAAATTGCTGGGATTACAATTGTGAGCCAGCACGCCCAGCCAAATGTTAACAGTTTTTATCTCTAGGTAGTAGGTTCTTAAAGGGCCAGGCATTAAATGTTTTCAGCTTTGCAGGCCATATAGTCTGTCCGGCAGCTACTCTGCTAGATAATACATATTATCTCTCATACATATCTCTGCTGCTAGATAATACATATTTGTGGCTGTATTCTGATAAAACTTGATTTTAAAAACAGGTGGGGGCCAGGCACAGTGGTACATGCCCGTAATCCTGGCATTTTGGGAGGCTGAGGCAGAAGAATCACTTGACATCAGGAGTTCGAGACCAGCCTGGCCAACATGATAAAACCCTGTCTCTACTAAAAATATAAAAATTAGCCAGGCATGGTGGTGCATGCTTTTAATTCCAGCTACTCAGGAGGCTGAGGCATGAGGATCGCTTGAACCCAGAAGGTGAACGTTGCAGTGAGCTGAGATCACACCACTGGCACTCCAGCCTGAGCGACAGAGTGAGACTTTGTCTCAAAAATAAATGAATACATACATACATTAAATAAACAAACAAACAGATGGGAAGAGATGGATCTGGCCCATGGGCTGTGTGTGGTTTTGCTGACCTAATGGCCTCTCACCCTTTGGTTCCACAGAGCTGCGGTGCAACCCTGGGCAGTTTGCCTGCCGCAGTGGCACCATCCAGTGCATCCCCCTCCCTTGGCAGTGTGACGGCTGGGCGACTTGCGAGGATGAGAGCGATGAAGCCAACTGTCCAGGTGAGTATGTCGAGTAGGCTGGGTACACACCACCTCGTCTCTTTGTTGTGGCTAGGTAACTGTGCCTCTTGTGAGGGATGAAGGTGTGTGCTGTCTCAACACATTGGAAAGTTAGTTTGAGCTGACCCCTTTCCTCTCTCTGTCTCTGAAATAGGTGCCCAACCTAGGCAGATGCCAGAACTTGCAAGATGGCAGGGCTATGGGTAGGCATGTGAGATGCCCAGGAGGCCACACTTGAGGCACTGCCCTCCCTGGACTTGCATGATCTTGAGTGTGAACGCCTCCTGAGGGGTGGCACCCTGGCCACCTCTCTGACCTCATCTGCATCCTGGCTCTGGATGTGGGTGCCTCTTGATCCTGAGTGTGCTCTTTTAGACTGGCTTTGGCACGCCCTCCCTTCCTGCTCACTCATTCCGCAGAAACTTTGCATTCGAGGGTTCTCTCCTGGTCATGTGTAGCCTCCTAGAGATGTATGGAGAGGCCACAAAAAGGCTAAATGGGAGAACCAGGTTCTTCACCTGGTTTCTGCCCCAGCACCCTCAAGGAATACAGTGCACCCCACGAATAACAGTGTTCACTGTATCCGTTGTTCTCAACTTGGGTTGAGTGGGAGGTGTAGTGAATATGTGTGCATGTGTGTGTGAATGTGTGAGACATACATATACATGTATCCACAAATTTGTTGAAGACGAGGTGGTGCTGATAAAGCCACTAAGGGGAAGGTGTGTCTTATTCCAGCTTGAGAATCACAGGCCTACAGGCTTTGGCTAGGCATGCAGACTCCTTCAGAAGCTGGTTTAGGACTGCTTCACCAACCTTCTTAATCACTACTTCCCTTCAGTGGCTTAGCTGGGCTGTTTCCTGTGCCCACCCCCATTAATAATCTCCTAGATGCATGCTTCCTTTATATTTTCCTGGAATTCCTTTGCTGTTTCTGTATAGACAAGCCCTGCCATCATTCAGGGTGCAGCTAAAATGCTACCCCAGTGGGAGAATATCTGTGGTCTCTCTTTTTATCAATTAGTTTCTTCCAGTCTTCCATCTATCTGTCTTACAGCATCAGAACCATTGGTAATTCTTACCATTCCTGGTGCCAAGGCTTGATTTTTCCATCCAGACCATGAGCTCCCAGAGGGCAGAGACCTTTCTCCTTCCTTAGTGGGACTTGGCCTAGGACATGAAAGGTGTACGATAATTCCTATAGGCGTAGTACTGAAGGAAAACCAATTCATTCCAACCAGGGTATTAGGTAGGGCATTAGGGTGACATTTGAACTTGGAGTAGTTGTTTGAGAGGGGATTTCAAAATAAGAAGCAGAGATGGAGACCAGCTTGGCCAACATGGTGAAACCTGTTTCTAATAAAAATACAAAAATTAGCTAGGCATGGTGGTGCACACCTGTAATCCCAGCTACTCAGGAGGGTGAGGCATGAGAATTGCTTGAACCTGTGAGGCAGAGGTTGCAGTGAGCCAAGATTGTGCCACTGCACTTTATCCTGGGCTACAGAATGAGACTGTCTCAAAGGGAGAAAAAAGGCCAGGCGCAGTGGCTCATGCCTATAATCCCAACACTTCGGGCAGCTGAAGCAGGCAGGATCTCTTGAGGTCAGGAGTTTCGGACCAGCCAGGACAACATCGTGAAACCCCATCTCTACTAAAAATACAAAAATTAGCTGGATGTGGTAGTGGGCAGCTGTAATCCCAGCTACTTGGGAGACTGAGGCAGGAGAATCACTTGAACCCAGGAAGTGGAGGTTACAGTGAAATAAGATCACGCCACTGCACTACAGCCTAGGTGACAGAGAGATCCTGTCTCAAAAAAAAAAAAAAAGAATGCTGTTTAGAGGGGACTCCTCCTGATTGTCCCTGGAGCCCATTCTTCATCAGATTATGCATGTCTCTGGTGGAGGTGTTTGCCTTCCCAAATGGGGGTTTTGATGGTATTGGCCCAGTCAGGAGTCTCTGGGACAACCCTTTGTTTGGGAGCCTCTCTGGTGGATCCTTGGGTCAAAGCCCAGGGAAAGTGGATTCCCAGTGGGCTTCCCAGCGCTTGGGCTGCTGAAGTTCCCTGGATGGTTAGCCTGGGGACAACCATGTGATCAGGAGTGAGAGCCTCCCCTTGTCTGACTCATAGAGTGGGACCTTATATCCAGCCTCTTGGAGAATTCCTGAAGAGGGAACCAGATGATTCTTGGTTTGCTTTCAAATGAAAGCGGAGCTTATTTGCTGTTCTCAAAGTGCCATTTGGCTTTGCTTTTGTGGTTTTTGTAATAACTGTCTTGTTACACATGCTAAACACAGTAGTATCCACACTCATAGTTGCCATCTTGTTCATCTTTTCATTCTCTAAAGACTTGGTAAAGGCAAAGAGTAGGTTCGATTTCCCATTTGGACCACCTAGCCTGACATGAGGAGACATCAACTTTGCACTTAAGTATTGGCTTGAAGCTACACAGGTTGCTATATGTTTTCCCTAGATAGAAAAAATCTCATAGAAGCCAAGAGTTAGGAGTGGTGGCCTGCACCAGGACCAAGCAGTGAAGGCTTGACAATGAGGACCCATGCGTGCAAACCCATTGAGGCCCAGTAGGGCCCTAGAAGCATTCCAGGTGGGCTGAGGAGGCCACTGTCCTGGCAGGGCTTACCTTGCTTCTCCTTGACTCATAGTCCTATGACTGTCGTTGTATAATGCTGTGTCACAGTCTGGAGGGTGAGCAGATTGATTTTTAATTGTTCTTAAAGTTGGAATTCTGGGCAAACTTAAGTTATAAAAATGTACAAAGACTATATAATACATATTTTCTTACTTCTCTGAATTAATAACTGCTAAAATCTTGTGATTTTTTTTTTAGTGTATTTTAAAAGAATTTTTAAAAAATCATGGATATAGAGTCAAATCCTCATTGACACTCTCCCTTCCTTCAGCCCTCCCCCACCAAAAAGGAAACTCTTTGTGTTTGTGGGAGGAGTAGAGAGTTAGCTAATAACCACCTTTGCTCAAAAGCTGTGACCTTCCTTTGTATGGGGAGAATTTCAGTAACCCTTTGGGAAGTTCTGTCCATTCTCAGTCAAGTTACTTTTGAAGGTAGACTTCAGGACTTCTGGAACTACCATATGAAGTTACTTCATTGCCCTGCCAAAAGGGAGTACAAATGTGTAAAACTAAAGGGACAAGAAAAGGGGAAAGATGTAACAGTCGATCAGTAATTTCTGCATGTTTTTGAAAGAGGGAAATGGGTGGCCTGTGAGGTACAGCCTAGGCGTTCTGTACCTTCCCACTTCCTTCTGGGCTTGTCCCTCGGTTTCAGAGGCTGGAATGCTAGAGCAGTAGCACTCAGACCCCTGGTCAGCAGGCTTCGGTGTGTCATTTGCCCTATGACATGTGTCTTGGGAAATGTGGCGAGTGGAAGGGAAGTGGAACCTTTCTCCCTTGGGCCATGGCGTGTGGGGCAGGCGTGCATGGGCTTAGAACAAGGTGAGTTTTTGCAGTGGCTTCTGCCTTACCCCACTGGCCAGCTGTCTCAGGGCTGCAGAGCAGCTGAGATATTGACAGCAGATTTTTGCAGTTTTTTAACCTATGGATGGCAGTAGTAGCTTCCTGACTTGACGATGACTGTAAGGATTAGATGGAAGACTAGACGTAGCCCACTTTACTTTTGCTCACACTGTAGCCTTGCCAGTTGTTTTGAAAGCACCTATTTTCTGTATGAAACCCTTTGTGTTTGAAATGTCTTAGCATGGTTTTTGTTTCCCCAGTGGAACCAACTTTGATATAAATGTGAATTAACAAAAGATATGTAAAATTTTTGAGGGACAAAAATTTACAACTTTATTAAGAGGCATTAAAGAAGACAAATAGAGGCAAAATGTTCTTGCCTAGGAAGACTGAATATTTTTAAAACTTCTTGGCCAGGCGCGGTGGCTCAAGCCAGCACTTTGGGAGGCCGAGGCGGGTGGATCATGAGGTCAAGAGATCGAGACCATCCTGGTCAACATGGTGAAACCCTGTCTCTACTAAAAATACAAAAAATTAGCTGGGCATGGTGGCGTGTGCCTGTAATCCTAGCTACTCAGGAGGCTGAGGCAGGAGAATTGCCTGAACCCAGGAGGCGGAGGTTGCGGTGAGCCGAGATCGCGCCATTGCACTCCAGCCTGGATAACAAGAGCGAAACTCCGTCTGAAAAGAAAAAAAAAACTTCTCATATTGTTCTGTGGATTTGCTGCCTCTGTAAAGCTTCTAGAGTTTTATGTGAAAGGCAGTAAGTCAATTTTAAAATGTTGAGGAGAATTTAGTCCTAGTATTGTGAGATCATTGTGAAGAAGAAAATAAGGAGGGAGCACTTGCCTTACCTGTTTCAAGACTTACCTTAAAATTGGCTCAGGGAAACCCAAGTTAGCCTGTGAGACAAGCTGTCAGAAACAGACCCGAGAAGCTTGAAGTCCAGAGGTGGAATCACATATCACTGCATAAAGGACGACTCTTCAAACACAGTGTTGTGACAGTTGGAGAAAGATGGAGTTGGATCCCTAACTCACAACGTACAGGAAATTCAGTTTTGGATAAATTACAATGTAGGAGACTATCTTTAAGACTTTGATGGGGAAGTGTGCCAGATTCTTTTTTTTTCTGAGACAAGGTCTGGCTCTGTTGCCCAGGCTAGAGTGCAGTGACGTGTTCTTGGCTCACTGCAACCTCTGCTTCCTGGGCTCCAGCCATCCTCCTACCTCAGTCTCCCAAGTAGCTAGGACTACAAGCATGTACCACCATGCCCAGCTAATTTGTGTGTGTGTGTGTGTGTGTGTGTGTGTGTAGTTCCGGTTTCACCGTATTACCCAGGCTGGTCTCTAACTCATGAGCTCTAGCAGTCTGCCTGCTTCGGCTTCCCAAAGGGTTAGGATTATGCAGGTATGAGCCATTGCGCCCAGTCACCTTTTTCCTTTTCTTTTCTTTTCTTTTTTTTTTTTTTTTTTTTTGGGAGGCTGGAGGGAGATGGAGTTTC